GTGGTAAAATATGTAAAAAGATGACATAAAAACTGCAAGATGCAAAACTGAAAATTTGTTTTTATTTCCCCTTCTACTTCTGAATATTTAGACCTTCAGTTTCATTTTTGGAATGGGGAGGATCTTCTGTGTTTTTTACTTTGACCTATTGTCATTGTTCTGTCCTACACATGTGATTTGTATTATTTTAAGACATTATTTTGCTGCACCATTATTAGCTATTCACAATATCTTAATTCTTTTTAGCCAAATACCTACTTTTAACAGTCATTACCTATGGGTTTATTAGCAAGAGGCTTTTTACGTTCCTTTGACACTTTTAAAACAAATTCCTGCATCATTCTGTATTTCAATTTAACTTGTTTTTTTTGTTCAGAGGAAGCTTACCAGAAGAAGTTGATAAAGGTTTTAGCACCTCATTTTACTTTTCATTTTCATTCCCTTCCAGATTCCTGTGTGTATGTTCTTCAATGCTTGCTACATCTACTTGTACTTTTCGTGTGACCTGTTGTTGATGTAAGCAAGGTGTGTCTTTATGACTTACTGCTCTGGATGACTACTCCATTTGGACTTTTGGGGGTCATCTCAGAAGTTTATTCATCTGTGACTCCTTGGTTTCATGTTCATTCAGGTTTTTCAATACAATTTTGTATTCATCTTTGACTCTTTCAGTTTCTATTTGATTTTGGATCATTTAAAGTTTGAACATTTTCCACAAGGGCATGTTGAAGTTGTATTTCATGTTTCATCAAGGTTTTACTATCATCTCTTTGTGGTACAAAAACAACAGGAGACTGAAGATTGGTCTTATATCTTTTGCTTTTTAGATATTCCTTCCTTTTAGGTGGAACCTATGAGAATCTTATTAAAGTTCTTTTGTTGTGATTTCAAAGACATTGATTTATGTAGGGAAATCATTAACTGGTCTTCTACACACACACACACACACACACACACTCAGTATTGATGTCATCATTACATGAATCATAAGAGGATTCTTGCTTAGTGGTTGCTTCACACTGGATTGACCTCTTGGTTACCCTCCTGAGATGGATTGTTCTTGAGTCCAAGTCTCAGCTTGTGCTACTTAGATCTAGTACATCTGAGATTTCATATTAACACTTTTAGCAAACCTTCATGTTTCCTTTGGCATTAAAGTATCTTGAGTTTTTGGTACTCATGCTTCTTCATCTGCCAAACAATTCCTCTTTGATTTGGGAATGGTGGATACTCTTTATATAGTAATTCTCATGAATCGTGTTTACTTGAGACATTCTCAATGTGATATTGCCCCTTCAAGGAGTCTTTACTCAGACCTATTGTCTATTGGAATTTCTCCTATTGTTCTTAATTATCCTTAAATGAGGCTTATTCAAAAATTTTCCCTTCCACATTTTTTTTTTTTAATCTGGATCTTTTCACTAATATCTTTCAGGTCTGTAGTTTTCTTAGATATCCCATTTTCATATTCTGTTGGATCTTGGACCATTAAATGATATCTGGAGTTCTTGCCCTTCTTACACCACTGCTATGTTTTAGTACTTATAGATAATTTGACTGTGGTAGCATATGTGAACAGGCAGGGGGATTTGATCTTGCAGCCTTTGTTCACTGTGGTTTCTCTTCTACTTTTGCGATATTCACATCATGTCTTTCTCTGAGCTGATATTTCATTGGCTGTGCTAACAGTTTGGTTGTTCTGTGCTTGATGCACTTGCAACAACAATGAATCATCTTCTGATGCTTTTCTGGTTTCCAAATCTGGGTCCATTTTTGAGTCTGTCTTTGGATATGCTTTTTCTCTGTGCCTACCCTTTTCATCTTCTTTATTAAGTATTGGCCAAGAGCAGATGATCCTATTCTTCAGTTCTTATTATTACCCCATTCTGGCCTGCTAAACCATAATTTTCACTCCTTTCATCTTTTTCAGAGGGATTCAATTAAGTTTCTGGTACATCTTCCTCAGTGACATCTGTCATCTACAGTTTCACAGCTGGATGTTAATTAGTGAAGATGGCTTCTCTTCTTGAGTAGCTCAAATATATCACATTCTTGCAGATGTTCCTCCTTGACAGAAAACATTCTTATTGGTCTGTCAGCAGCTTGCTTCCTTTTTTTTTTCATGTCCCTCATTTATGATTGGGTTTGTCTGCTTCTATTAGAGGCTACATTGCTGCAGTCTCCCTAGATTTCAGTTTGGTCTTAAGATGCCAAGCTCTTCCTTTTGAACCCTTAGCAACTTGTTCACTCTACCATCTTTCCCTGAAGGTTTATTTTATTATGTTAGTTGCTTCCAGAAAGAGACAGAGATTTTTCCCTTAATGTTTCTTGTACTCTTTTTTTTTTTTCCAGGAAGGCTTTGTCCTTGTATCCTGATAGCCGTTCTGCCAGTGACTTGAACTCTGAGAGATGGTCACCACTGTTTTCTCTCCTATTCTGTTACATGCTCTGACTGACTCTCATTATCCTTCAGAAAAATATATTCTATCTTTGTTCTAATATTGAAAGATCAATCTTTTTGAGGAAATCAACATCAGTTGTTTATACCTTCCGACAATTCTTGTTTCATCTATGTTAATGAATTGGCTTGTGTAGCTGATCCATCTTTTTTATCATGATATATCTGGCTACTTTGGCCATTACATTGGCTATATCTCTGTACCCTTTTATGAATATCTTGCAGACCAGCATAGGAAAGAAAACTGATTTTTTATTTTTTTTTTGCTATTTTACTTTGGTCACATCACTATATTTTCAGTTTTGGGATTCCATATGTCACCTGTAGTTATTCTTCAGGCTCTGGGGAATCTGCATCTTGCAAATTTTTGTATATTCTGACCAACACCCATTATTAATCATTTTCAGGGTGTTTGGGATTGTGAATAATTTTGAGTTTAAAACAAGTAATACAGAACAAGGAAGATATGGTAAATTCAGTCTCTTCTTTTGTATTGAGAACCTATTTATTTCAATTCGTCCAGTCAGGACTGTTGCATATTCTTTAACCTCTGCATTTGTCCTAGGCAACCTCAATATTTCTGTTTTAATTACTTAACGCCCATTCACAAATCTAGGGTTATCTGAGATTGAGAAATTATTGATTATAAAATAACATAAATTCATCCAGCTGGGACTTTTGCATGTCATATACCTCTGCATTTGTTCTAGACCAAATTCCACTTCTATGGTTGAGCTCCATGAGAGGGTTTGCCATCTGGAAGCTGATGCCTTGACATGTATGTTTCTTACCTTCATATACATATTCTTGTGTAGCATTACAAATATCAGAAATGGGACCATCACATTCTCTAGATGTCTTGGTTCCAATCAGGATGGGGATTATCCTTATTTCTGTTTACAAGGAGACTTCTTTGGTCTTTCTCCAGTTGTCCCTGAGCTCCTATTAATTTGTCTGGTTGTGTGACTCAAAGGTTATTTTTGATATGGATGAAAAGGGGTTACTGCCTCTGAAGTATGTTCTTTTATAATATGTGTATGGGTTAATCCTTCAAGAACCTTCTGCTGTAGGAGCAGGGCATAGTATTCCTCCTACTTGTATACACTACCAGCTGTGTCCATTGCCAGATTAACAATGGGGCACATGCTCCAGGGCCCCCCACAAAACTCAAATTATGTTATAATAAATTCACAAATATTTTTTGATTAATCAATTTATTTTACCCTGAATAATAATAATAATTGTTTAAAGAATGATGGCAAGTCACATGAAATTATTTTAGAATTAAAGTTTTTATATTTTCTACAATTTTAATGAAAATTGAACATTAACAACATATAGTCAATTGTTATTTATGGCACTTGACTGACAAGTATATGTTAAAGGTCTTTCTCAAAAAAGCCGCTTATCAAGAATGATCTTGGTGCTACTATGGGGCAGCAAAAACTGGTAATTTTTTTATCATTCTCTCTACTGAAGTAGATATCCTGCGAGCACTAAATATGTATGATATTATATCAGAATTTGCAGCAACCAAAGTCAGGAAATAAATAACCTAACTAATTAGGGAAAATAAGAAAACATTTGAACTGTTATTATGTTTTCAATTGTAAGAAATTCAGTATTAAACATTGTGTTTATTATTGTAATATACATATATAGACATTACAAAACTCCAGACAATATAATATGAGGCCTTCCACAAGTTAAGTGTCCCAGAGCTGCACCACAGCTAAATCTGGCCCTGGCTTCACTGGTTCAATACACCATACTGCTCACACAAACAACCACTTTGCCAAAATTAAAGGGTGCCATGGGCAAAAAAGAACAATGCCTTCTTTCTGAATGTTCTTTAGATCCAGTCTCTTAATAAGTCTGATCTGCTACAACTCATTATTCCTCAAGTCCACATTTGTTGTAGTTTAGTTTATTATATTCCTGTATTTCATAGTTTTATTTTTCTGTTTCTTTTCACATTCATCAGTTCTCACCTCCTTTACAGTGTGGGTATTCTGGCTTTCAATATTTCAGAGTTAAGAATACCAAATGTGAATTTTACATTGTTAGAATTGAAATTAATTTCAAAAAGATACTTCCCTCTTTCTCCTCAGAACTGAATTTTCATTAAAATCTAAATTATGGTGGGAAAAGATCTTGTGCAATAAATCATATGGACAGTGGGAGAATTATGGTTAAGTGATGCATGCTGTGCAATGTGTACAGGATGTTAGGAAATTTGAGTCACTTGTTTTGTTGACAGCATGAGTTCAAACTCAATTAAGGAAAGGCTTTCAGTATTTCATAGGTTATTACCTAATCAAAGTGGAACTTAATTCTAGAAATGTAAATGTTTATGTGACAATTAAAAACTGTAAGAAACTGCTTAAGCTATTTTATATCTTAAACTTTAATTAACTGTAGCCATTTCAAGCCTTTAAACACCCCATATCTTCCTACTTTTTCAGATTCTTCCAATTTTGTTCAAAATACCCATTTTCTCTCTTTTTGATGAAAAGAAAGGGTTTGTGTTTTACATTTTCAGGATGATCATTTTTAGCAGAAACCTTTTGAGTGACAAACTGGCTGATGCAGATGTACCAGATTTCATTTGGAAAATATTCTAAGTATTGAGAGACTTTATGTGTATTAGACATGAACATTTAAACACATAACAAACCTTACCTCCTAGGTGAGTATGTTATTATTTACTAGATATTTATTAATTACTATCCACCTGAATAAAATGTCATTTTACCCTATTACCCTGATATTTTACTATTATTTTTCCCTTTTCTCAAACTTATCCCTAAAATTAGCTGTGTTTTTTCCTTGATGTGCTGGTGGAAAGTCTGCCAATCATGTCAACATCTTTATTGAACAAAGAGGAAAATTAAGGTAGAGCTGAACATAGTTTTGTTTTCCAGAGAGGGGGATGGATGTTTAATGCTTTGCAAGAATACTTGAAATATGAGTGAAAAGGGAAGCAAATTTACAAATATAGGGTTACATAATTTTGTTTTACATGGCTGTTATTCCTTTATGAATGTTTTATTGTTCTTTTATATTAATTTGTTTTCTACAACAGTAAATGAATTCTGGCTTAGTTACTTAGACTAATTGTTCCTTAGTCAATGAAGTCTACAATAGGCTATTTTAGCTTCATTGTTTATAATTAATTTACTTCTGAAATAACAGATATTCTTATTATTAGACCACTATAATTAATCAAGAAACTTTTATTCACTAGATCAGGTAAATTAAATTATAAAAGCAAATCCAGAACATGAATGTTGGGTTAGTCTAATATTGACTGAACTCTATATTATGAAATATTTTAGCTTATTAAGAAAACTTGCCTTTTTCCATTTAACCTGTTTTTACATGCTTTTCATATTATTTTAGGATTAGTTAATAATAAGCAAAAGTACCTGTCCCCAGTGTTGGGAAAAGTTTGAATTAACCTATCAATTTAAATTATTTCATGGACTTTATAAGGGTTAATTGTGTTGCACTCTTGGTTTAATTTAGAGCCAAAGCTCTGAGTTACTTATACCACACACTGCAAAAAGTAATTGTTGAGCATTTCAGTCATGCTAAGAGCTGCTCAACAATAACATATGTTAAATATACATTTTTATGTTACATTTTGAAATTGAATGCTAATGTGATTAATTTCCTGACAATTTAGTGTAGAATATCCTGCTTTTGAAATAAAATTTGGCATCAACATGATTCATGCCTGTTCTCCTATCCTTTCAAAAGTGAATGTTGAGCTTTGCCTGTATGTGCAGCTTTTTCAAACACATCACGGGAAGCGACTTCTATAAAGGGGAGACAGACGAACACCACGGTTTGCAATATATATATATAAG